ACAATTTTTAATAGGGTAATGYATTATGAAATAACTGACCCAGTTTCATTCCATATATAATAATTTAAATGTCAAGTGCTCTTCAATATAAACATGACAGTCTTTTGAACCAACAGTTTTTCAGTCGTTTGAAAAGCAGCCGTAGACTCATACGAATATTCCTGATTGCTTTATATAGTAAATTTCAACAAATAATCTCTTTGAAAGAAATGGTTATTGGAAACAAATTCGCCCGGTGTAAGAGAATCCGGAATCCGGAATCTACTAAAAAAACAGCTTTGGAATCCGGAATCCCTATCCTGGAATCCGGAATCCAAATATTTGGAATCCATAATCTGGAATCCAGCAAAAATTTTGATATCTAAAAAACACATAGGACATCGTCCCGCTGACGCCCCTGCGCAGGATACTGACACGCTGAATATAAAATTTTCAGGAAAAAAAAACCCTGAAAATCAGGCCATTTATCATACAGAATCCAAAACAAAAATTCTTTGGAATCCGGAATCCCAAGGCTTGAAATCCGGAATCCAATGTTTCGGAATCCGGAATCCAGCGCTTGGAATCCGGAATCCTCTAGTTCTCTGGATTCTCTTACATGGGGCGAACAAATGGACGCTTATAATATGTCTTCAAATTCAGAAGTGTTTTAAGTTCAATTGTTGTGGAAATTACAAAAATACATTGTTTTAATGAGAGAGTCTTTAGAAGGGAAGACGTTCGATTCATCGTTTTAGGTGAAGTTTTTAGTTTTTTTATACCATTATATACAGCTTTCATCTTTTCATAGGAATAGAAACAACCATTCGATACAGAACGGTTTTATACCATTATATACAGCTTTCATCTTTTCATAGGAATAGAAACAACCATTCTTATTCAGAACGGTTAAAGTGACCTTTTTAATATAAAAAAATATTGAAACATCGGATAATTGTATCAAATATTTCAAACCAGTTTCAGTGCATACATTAGGCAATTAATAAAACATATCAAACAGGCGTAAACTGTGCCCCTGAATAGATATAATGACAATCTAATAATATGTTTATTATGATTTGAAATAAAATATTCAAAAACATTGATACAAAGTGTGTCGCTCTCATTGGCTAATGACAGTTTAAAACAGAGTTCTGAGACACTTGTCAAGAGACAGACATTTCATAATATCTTTTTATAGTCTTGAAATGTTTTTATTACGGAAATTATTCAATGATTATTAACAAMGGTTTGCGCATGTATTCTGTACGATATACTAGCTCGCGTTAACCTCTGATATAAAGCGATTTACCTGTTGACAATGTCTTTGTTATTCCTGTTCAGTGAAAATAATAATAATACTACTTAGTGAAAATAGTAATACTACTTAGGATTCCCGCTTCGTGCTCGACTCATCTGTAATTCAGATTTACAACTCTTTTCAAAACATTCACCTTCGTTCCGTTGATCGCGCTAAAATTGCAATAATTCGACCATTGTTTSATGTAGTACAATAAATTTTGTGCCCCAAATTGTTGTCGGGATTGTTAACATTTTAATTCGGAAATTATTTAAATTTGGTTGCCATATCTCCTAAACAGTCAATGATGGACAACCAATCTAGGCTGGACTTGAAAGACATATACTAAAGTAATCTAACAACATATTTTRTAATCGGTATAGTCATATTTTCCACCCCATTTTSTCTTGAAGTTTGGAGTTTTTCTAAACTACGTAGCTGGTCACGTGACCAATGGAATACTCTTCTGGTAACAAAAAATTTGGACCTTTGCTKAAAACTAACCTGTGTCAAAGTTACATGGTTGCACTTTTGAAGCAAAGAAAGAAATCCAAATAACTATAAAATATGCAAATCTAGTTGAATTGGCTCATAAATACACACAAGCAACATGTGGGCTATACAGAGAAATATAGTCGATTGACAAAACATGACAAAAGGTTGTCGTCGACAGGGTTTCACGAAGCGCGGCTAGCCCGAACTGGTTTCTGGGTAAAAATCAATGAACTGGCAAAATATTGATTTATTGCATCTCCACCAAGCTTTTCAGTTTTCATAATTTTTA